TGTCTTCTAAGGCCTGACAGGAACTTTGAGGAGAAAAGAGAACATAAAAAGGGGGAACAAAGGCAGGGTGGGAGGTGGGTGGTTATAGCCTCAGGCCTTGCATAGCTGGCTGGATAGGTAATCCTGGTCAGGTCATAATCTGGTTGATGGTTTTCTCAGGACTAGTTCTGCAGAGTCTCTATAGAGAAGTCTATGGTTTAAAGGGGGTAATTTGGGAAATGAGATCATTGTTCCTGCTTGTGGGGGGCCAGCCTTGGTTCTATCATGAGATAATTGCTCCCACTTAGGACAGTCTCTTCACGGGATCATCAGCTCTGCCAGGCTCTGCTGTTCTACAGGTTTAGGGCGATGACTGGAGACTTGTAGACACCACTCCAGGGCATCTGGAGCAGGACTTGTAAAAGCTGGCAGTTGACTGTCCCTGCAAATCTTGAAAATATTGCACCTTAATTATTCTTATCCTTAATCTTGAAGGGGGATGAGGTAGACTAGATAAATTTAGGGCTACTTAACTTTTTGTTATCAGTTTTTAGGCAGGCACTCCTTAACTGATTAACATACTTAAGCATGGACCTAAAGCAAAGTTTTAAGGTAGTAAGGGGACAGACTTAAAATGAAGGCAGAAATGCTAAGTTTCATCCTGCTTTTAGTTACCCACCAGACTTCTGCTGGCCCAGTCTCTGTGGTCGGCTTTGTCTGTTTTAAACTGCAGGTTTGAGCTACTTTGTTACAGCAGGAGTAGGACACTAGTACACCACATAAATTCCAACATGTCCATGTATTCTAAGCTTTCTATGTCAAGAAACCATGATGATCTTCTAGGACAGCCTGCTGCATCTCTGGTCCCTAGGACCTGTCACACTGTCCCATGATCACCCCAGGCATGATACACACTGCCTCCCTGTTTTATTTTGATGTTCCTAGTTGAGGTCAGAGATGACTGTGCAAAATGTCATATGTTCCCACTCTGGTGCTATATTTCATAGTTCGTAGTTGGAGAGCAATTTACTAAGTGCATTCATTAATTAGGCTCTATGACTGAAGGCCTTGGGGATATACAAGTTGAAGGATTCAGCCTCTCCTGGAGATGAGGAGAGTATTTGTAGTGAAAGTGATGGTAAGATTGAAAAGAGTAGAAGACCCTCCAGACAAGGGGAGCAGGTAGAAGTCGGGGTCTGGAGGCATAGGAGGCAGAGTGTGTATCAGCAGCTGGTGACCTGTTCCTGTCCCTGTCCTTGGACCTTTGTGGGTTGGGGGAACTGAGAGGAAGTCTTGGGATGATATTACTGCAGAATTTGAAGGAAAAGATGGAGCGGATTGGAAGATAGATGCCATACATTCACACAGAGACCTATAAATACAGACAGTAAGGAAGGACCTCCGGGGCCATGGATGGAGCCCTGGGAATCACTCATGGTACAAAGGGAAGCCAAGGAGGAAACACCCAGGAGACATAGACAGGCAGGCTAGGGGCATCCCCCCTGAAGGAGATCTCACAGTAATTAAAGAGGAGGTGGCAGGCCCCAGCACAGAGAGGGTGGCTCTCATCGTCCCGCTCGGCAGGCACCTCTGGAGCAACCCAGCCTAGAAGGTACCAGTTAGACTTGGCAACAAGATATCATGGAGCCCTCCAGCAGAGCATTTGTGTGAAGAATGGTAGGTGGGTTGAGAACTAAGCAGTAGTTTGGAGGGGAAGGAGAGAAGGTTACTTGGGGAATAGGTATCAGCCTCACGGATAGGCAGCAGAGATGAGTGAAAGGATTGTGACGCATCCTTGTGTGAAAGGCTCGTCCATCCCAGGGACCACTTGCTCTTTGTCCCATTTACAGCCCCATTGTTAAAAATGAAGGTTGTATTGATTAGTTTTCCCAGCACTATAACAACATACCTGGCACCCACAACCTAAAGGAGGTGTTAATCTGTTTTACGGTTTCAGGAAATTCAGTGTGTGATTGGCTGGCTCCATGATAGGAATAACATGGTGGAAGGGCGTGCAGAGCAAAGATGCTCATTTTATGGCAGCTGGGAAGCAAAGCACAGGGGAAGAGCACTAGGAAGAGATG